ACACATTTACACTGGAGTACAGCAAGTGTACATTGTGAGTTGGATAATTCTGAGGTTATCTTGCAACTGAGCTCAATGATTAAGAGATGCAAGCTTCCGTGTGGTGTTTTGAAGAGAACAGATGGCTGTAAATTCTGGTTGGAAAAATGAAGCCAATGCTGAAATCCCTTAAACCAACGTTCTGTCTGAAAGCCACCAAATGTCTATTGCTCGGTTTGCAGATTATGAGAACGGCTTTCTGGTAAACTCTTTACTGCTAAGTTTATGGCATCACTCATTTGGGGTCATAACAACAACAGCAAGATGATGTGGTGCTGAAGTCTGACTATACAATGGTACAAGCATTAATGTACACGAGGCTAAATAACAGACAAATGCATGATTGTTCCTGTCGTTTTGGCTGAACATTAGTCATCTGTCTGTTTCATTGGCCTAGATGTGATGGAATCATCTTTATTTGAGAAATGTACTTAAACCTTTGTCCCCACTTCCTGTGTTTTCAAGCTACCGTGCAGCGTGTGATCTGGACACAAGCGATGGAGGCACAACTTGTAGAACTTTGGAAAGCTCATCCGAGCCTTTTCCATGTGGCCTCACAAAATTATCATCACGACCACAACAACCGTGAAAATAGTTGGATCTACATGCTGCTCACTCACAGCTGCCTGATCATGTTTTTCATTAGCAATTTAGAAAGTGTGTGTGTGTCTGTGTGAGTGAAAGACAGAGAGCGAGCGACAGAATTTCTGTTTTAACCTTCATTTTATGGACGCACAGTTTGACGCCACTGGAAAAAATCGCAGCCAACATACAAAGAGATGAAGTACCGCGTGTGAAACAACGACGGGTGTCTGTTACCACTCAGTGCTTCTCATGCCGGACGTTTTTAACTGGTTTCGCGCTTCTTTTTCCCAGTGGGTTCAGATGGACAGGCTGCAGTGGACACCTCTGCGGCACCGCCATGTTGTTACTACGGAAGGGACACCACAGGCAGCGACTTCAGTTGGTAAGTCTTTTAGATTTAAAGTATCACGGTGAGAAATCTGCTTTTGGGAATAAAGCATTTCCAAGAAAAACTAAATGATTAATTAGAAAGTGCTTTATTGGCTATTAAACGGCTATATAAAAGCCAGTCAATTTAAAAAATCTGTGGGGCATGTCTATTCAAGACAAAGTCTTTTCCCCTTTGCCTAATTCTGTTTATTTTCTCCTTAACATTTTCTCATAGATACTGCCGCACGTGACGAACATGGTGGTTAAAGGAATAATGCACACTCACAAAGTGTTTAAGCCAGAATAATTTTTGAACTTGTTCCGATTATTCTCGTAATTAAGATATTTTATATTTGGGTTTAAGCGCATTATATGCTGCAAAGAAATCAATGATTCTCCAATTTGTATACATCATCTCAGATATTTGCTGTTTTTAAAAAAAAAAAAGAAAAATATATAAACATGCACTATATTAAAGTCGGCTTAACACTTGTCCACCAATCGTAAGTACGTGTGGACAAACATCTAATAAATATATACGCCACGTTGTGCTCCTTCACTGTTCTAAGACTTGTCGTTAGGAAAAATAGGCTCGTTTTTGTTGTGAATGTTGGTTTGCTCGACCATTGTCTAATTAAGTTTATCACTTTATAAATAGTATGGATCTCTCGTTTACCCACGTGTGTAACTAGTGTGTCTTTTTTTGTCTTTGGATCTGATAAACAAGAAGACGTGACTCAGATGCAGACAAATTAAAAGCTCCTTAAATGTGAACACCTACAAATTGTCATCTTGAAGACTATCCTGATGTTGCACTGGTTTCTCTTGCAGACATGCTGGCACCCAGTGTTAAACAGACATGAAGGCTGAGTGTTGGCAGTGGAGTAGAACTACACACTGCTTGCCTTTAGGCGTAAAGGTAAATGTATTTCAGTTTATAGACGTGTTCTGCATTGAACTATTTGGCAGTCTTGTCATGTTCACATCTGTGTCATTCCTGGTGTGATTTCAGACTGATGTCAAGCTAGATTTGCTTCAGACTCTTAGCTAGTGTAGTTAACAGGGACCAACTGATGCCACAGACTCACAACATTACAGCAGCTAGATGCTGCTGCTTACTCAGATTTTACTCCATCCAAAGTGGCATGAGTTTCCGATGAGGATGCACTGATCAGTCATTTGTGGGAGGAGAACATCCAGACAGACACTGGCTGGAAATTCTTGGACAATTCGAATCAGTTTCTTGGTGGGTGGTGTGTGGGGAAATCTAAAGTTATTACACTGAGACTGACACTGGCCTGGCGCTGAGCAAAAGGCTGTTGTGAATAGATGAGATAATAGTGGTTGTGGTTGTGCAAGTTCGGTCTACTCATCCGAGTCCTGCAGTGCACCACCTAGTCCCACAGAATGTAGGCTGTTAATAGATCGTTCAGATAATGCTGTCGTTTGCTGTGTTTGCATTGATATGTCCAGAACAGGAGAGATGTGCGCATTGGTCTATGTCCGAAGATTCTACAGAACATGAAAGGTTGTCCAAGGTACTCACTCAGACAGACTTTTACTTGGATTAACCTTCATCGTTTTTTGTCCTTCTCTTGCACTGTGACGTGAATACTAATACAATATCGCTGCCATGGTTGGCTACATTGCCTCGACTGACCTGAAGGGTGATGCACCACCTTCATTTTGTACCTTTCTTGCTCTGCGATGTACCATAGAGCTACTCGCTGGTAGATAATGTGCAGTGAACCATACGTATGTTATCTATTGGTCAAATGTCAGTGCTGTCTTCTGCGTTCGTACCAACTGGCTTCCCTCTCTTACTTTTGAACTTTTGGTATGAATTCTCTATCAGTATGGTTCGACCATGAGAACTCCAGGTCTAGAGGTTGGGACATTGACAGGTATTAGTAAACTAGAACAAAACTCGCTTTACTCGTAGGCATAGCTGCGGCCTACGTGACATGAAGAGGCTTAACGCGATCGTCTAGCTTTGGCTGGGTATGGCTCATGCTTACCATCTCACTGATGTCATGAGTCTAGATGAGATAACTAAGTAGATACTTGTCTTTGGTTTGTGTCGACATGGATCCTGACAGGCAGTTTTGGTGTCTTGGGACTGCTGAACCTGTCCTAGTCCTGGCATCTCATTCGACCAGATTTTTTCAGACAGGTTATTGTTCATTTCAGTCTACGGATGCTGATATTTATATTGCCTTCTCTGCTATACCTTCTCATCCGACACAGCGTGGGCTTGAGATTTCAAGTACTCGTATTGGGTTGCTTATTTCATTACTAATCTCTCCAAATCTCTCATTGCAAGGGTTTAAGAACCGAAGTCTTGTCTCTCTATTATACAATTGTTGTTTTTTGTCTTGATTTAATGTCTGGGTTAATAACTCTAGAGCGCTATGCTTATCTATAGAACTGTATGCGGTTTGAACTTAATTACTTGGGAGGAGCCTCTCGTCATTTGTACTACTTGTCGATGCTGGAAGCAGTAGTACAATCATATGTGGTTGACAGATATTACACTCAAGATAAGAAGAATTTCTGCTTGCACACATGCATTGACGGGCCTCTCCATAATTGATTATAAGTGAGATGCCAGACTTCCTCAAGTCGTTCGATTTTTTGCAATATGCGGCACACCGTAGTCTCACTACTAGATAACTTGTGAACACTAGTGCTGTCGACCGCTCCGCTGTAGTGGCT